AAAGTATCTACTCTACGTGCATGAAAACTAATCCTTCTCTATTAGTTTTCTTTCCTGTAGTGATGAAAATAGGATTTGATTCTTCTACCTGTAAAGTTGTCGTCTCCAAGTTGTAAGTTATACCCCTTATCCACCACCATCGGTTTCTGGCGTTCCCTCTCATATTTCCCACTGACAGAGGAATGAAGCGAAGTTGTAGAATTACATGGTTTGTTCTCGGAAGTATATATAGAAGACATCTGAAGCAGAGTAATGCAAAGTAAAACACCTCGTTAGAAGTGGCAGAAATAATAATATTGCACATACCAGATCCATTGAGAGGATTCTAAATGAGAAGGATCACATCTACATCTCGAAAGTGTGAAAAAAAATTCAATTCTAAACATTGATCTTTTCAATCTAAGCTATTAACACGTAAGGAAATAGAGAGACGAAAACTTAATCAATCAATTCCGAATAAAATCGATGAACCCTATGATGACAAAAACGGTAGCGGAAAGGAAACTGGTTCAATTTTACACATGTCACTTATAAAGCAAGCCATGTGTCCATCTCTGGAGCGTACTGGCCAACAACTGTTATATAGTAGATTTTCTTTTCTTCTCTTCTATAAACGTCATCCAATCAGACCCCTTGTGTTATGCACTGACGAAAAAAGAAATAGTATAAATAAAATAGATCATATGAATGTGTGTATGAGTATTAGTAACAAAATTTACACTGAAAGAATGTTTTGGTAAAGCTACAAAAGTTAGTGCAATTTAGGATAAACCCATAGTCCACTAACGGCTTCATCATCTGATTCACTTTCATCAGACGAACTCATAATCCCCAGTAAATAGTTGACAACCTGTGTAACAATAAAAATTCACCAAAAAGCATTGCTTCATAAGTAACATAAACCGCGGAAAACAACATTTCTTAAAAGAGGAACAAAGCTTACCTGGTGAGTTGACATGAGGTCGAGTGCCTTGTTGCCTGATTTCAACCGACATTGTTTGTTCGGACATCTAAAGTTGTCGTGCCAAACAATTGAGTCACAGTAACTGCAGTATCCCCGACCAGATCTTAAAACCTTCGACGAATTATCCGCTGCGTGGTTACGTAAAGTACACGTATACTTTACAAATCACATAGAGAAAGAGGTTTTTGAAAGACAGAAGATGAAACCGTGGACAAAAAGAAGACCTTACCGATAAATGCTTTCTTGAAGGCTTCTCTCCAGTCAGTACCGGAATGAATACGAATCAAGACTTTGTGATTGAAGTGAAGGTCAAATTGTGATCGCCACAGAGAGTCATCATAGGTTGCTTGGTTCCATGAGCT